ATAAGCATTTAATATTTAGGAGTGTCACACTTTGGTAAGGGAAACTGTCAGGTCCTGTAAGTTTATTTTACTATCTCCTCTTCGTCACAGATCGTCTTCTTACTTGTACTTACTTCACACTCTAGTGCTTTATATTTCCTCTTGAATTATTCTAAAGGTATAAATTATATTTAGTGTGTTATTACCGTCCATATGGTCGTCCTCCGTCCACATTCTGCCACTAGGGTACAGGAACAGGGTGTATTAATATACCGTCTCAGTGAAAAATTTTCTCTTTTTTCAGATACTGTACTGTACATCGCCGCTCTCCAGTGACTACATCACCAACCTCACAACACATTCACGTAAATAGTTCTCAGTTAAATCAGTCGTTGTAAACAAGGAAATAAATAACTTCCTCCTATTATAAATGACTTTTAACTCGCCCTGTTAAAGATACATTTATTTACATCAGTTGTAACATTAATGACGGACATCTGTACTGTACTGTACTGTACATCAGTTGTAACATTAATGAGGGACATCTGTACTATACTGTACTGTTCTGAACTGTTTTGTGCTGTGCTGTACTGTATTGTACTGAACTGTACTATACTATACTGTAGTGTACTGTACTATACTATACTATACTGTACTGAACTGTACTGAACTGTACTCTTCTGAACTGTTTTGTACTGTGCTGTGCTGTACTGTACTAACCTGTATACTGTGCTATACTGTACATCAGTTGTAGCATTAATGAAAGACATCTGTATTGTACTGTACTGTTCTATACTGTACATCAGTCGTAACATTAATGAGGGACATCTGTACTGTACTGTTCAGTACTGTGCTATACTGTACTGTACATCAGTTGTAGCATTAATAAGAGACATCTGTAGTGTACATCAGTTGTAGCATTAATGATGGACATCTGTACTGTACTGTACATCAGTTGTAGCATTAATGAGACACATCTGTACTGTACTGTACATCAGTTGTAGTATTAATGATGGACATCTGTACTGTGCTGTACATCAGTTGTAGTATTAATGATGGTGTTACAGCTACATTTATTTCTATAAATTGAAGGGTAAAGTCTACATATCTCCCTTAATATTGATCTTATTGATCTGAAATTAATTATGAGCAAAGAAACCTCAGCTTAAAGTGCCACTTTGTTCAATGTTCTTATGAATGCAAGTAGGTGAGTGCTAACAAGTATTAGTCGATCCATAGTTTACCATGATGAGGTGTATCAAGTGAAACATGTATATGGAGCAAGTAACAACATCACTACATTATAAGATGTAACTGATAGACTAAGGTTAGGATATAGGTGCCTCTGGCAGTATGTTCCTCAAGCAGATGTGAACAACACTATATGTAGTGTGTGGCCAGACATATGGCCACACACTCTGGCAGTATGTCCCTCAGGCAGATGTGAACAAGACTAAATGTAAAGTGTGTGGCCAGACATATGGCCACACACTCCAAAACTACGTCCTTGACTGTGTGAAGATAGAACCTGAATATTAACCCCAAAGTGCAGTACAGAAGAGTACAGTATAATATGGATCAGAACAGAACAGTGCAGTATTATATGGATCAGTACAGAAGAGTACAGTATAATATGGATCAGTACAGAACAGAACAGTATAATATGGATCAGAACAGAACAGTACAGTACAGTATAATATGGATCAAAACAGTACAGAAGAGTACAGTACAATATGGATCAGTATAGAACAGTACAGTACAGTACAGTTGTCCCTCATTAATGCTACAACTGAAATACAGTACAGTACTGTATAATATAGATCAGTACAGTACAGGGTTAAAGCTTCATATATAACAAAGACAATGTTGAATTTTGGTCAAACAAACACTAAAACAGTCACCAGGAAAGTGAGCTGGACAAAAAATACTGACTCCACTTTACTGTATACACAATGTAATATATACAGACTAGTGACCCAAAATTATATATAAAATACTCGTCTCTGAGTTATTGGCAGTCACCTTAAACCCTTGCTATCATGTTATTTAATAATATTCTATCTAGACTCATTTCCAGCAATAAGGTCATAAAACAGTAAATTATCATAAGTATTACCTTGGCTCCTCACCGGGCGTCGTCCAGACCAATCTAACATTTGGCTCTCAACTCAAAATATAAACCAGCCATGGAATTTTCTTCTCATTGTGCCCATTAAATTCCATAAATACAAAAACCTATTATTTTAATGCTTCTTTACTCATAATGAATTTTAAGGCAATTACAACAATATTAATTTAAGACATCCACATACAGTATCTGAAGACCAGCCATTACTGTGCACATGTTCTACAATATTGGGGTTGTAATAAAATATTCAGCAATAGTTAAATACTTACAGTATATCTCATTCAGTAAGATATTTATGTTTGGGGCACATCATTGTAAGGGCGCATGTTTTCCAACACCTACACCACCCTTAACTTACTTACTTCTCTTGTCTTCGTTCTTACTCTTACTCAGTTCCGTCATATATTCTTTTTACTTACTTCACTGATCACTGCACAGAGAAATGGTTATTACAAATCACACTTAACCCAAAAATCACCCACAATACTCTAAGAACAAGTTTATTAAAATGAAATCAAAGGGAAAAAGATATATTATTAATTTATAACTACCAGGTTCAACTCCTGGGCTTATTGCAGACTCAGTACTTTCTTCTTTACTTATTTTCTTATTTCTTTACTCAACGGTAATTACTCAGATCTTACACTCGTACTGCACCCAACCTTACTGGTGTTACATTACATGGCATACCAGATGATACTAAATGTTACATAATACTCCCTTGAGATAAATAAATGTACAGTACAGTGACCCCTCGGTTAACGAACTCAATCCGTTCCAGAAGGTCGTTCGTCAACCGAAAAGTTCGTTAACCGAAACCATTGTTTCAATGGGTTTTTGGGTAATTGGTTCCAGCTCACCGAAAATTTCCTAAATTCAACAAAAATGGTAGAAAAGTTCACTTACTTTGAGGTGTGTTTGTAGAAGGCTCCTGGATGATGATGATGATGATGATGATGATGATGATGATGATGATGGGGGTGGAGGAGAAGGAAGAAGAGAAGGCATTGGGGTGGAAGAGAAGTCACCCCATGGCGCCATTTCACCCATAAAATTTTAGCTCTCTTGGTGTAATTCAAGATTATTTTCTTTAAATCAACACTGCACTGCATTATATATTGTCAATATGTAAAATATATTTCAAAATGACCAATAATTTGCTTGGAAACACAGAAAAAAAGTGTTTAGTTGAAGAGAGTCTCAAGCAAGATGTTACCTCCAGTGAAAACAGAGAGAGACTAACGCCTGTTTGCTGTGTTAAGAGGCTGGATGCCGCGCATTAAACTAGTCACTTTACCTTCAATTATGTTCAATAATCGTTAAAATGACTAAAAAATTGAATATTAAACTTTTAAAATTATTGAATAGTATAAACTTCTTGATATTTACTAAAATAGTAAGGAATTTAAGCCCTAGAACCGATTAATGCATTGGCGGACTGATACTAAAGATGGTTGCCCGGTAAGCGCAAGCGAAAACATGTTGAGGTCGGTTCGTAAGAAATTCGTTAACCGAATTTTTGTTCGTTAACCGAATTGAAGATCCTTATGGAAGGCAGTTCGTTAACCGAAATTTCGTTAACCGAGGCGTTCGTTAAACGAGGGGTCACTGTATATATCAGGTGCCTAAAAGAGAGCTCAGGTTCTCAACTAGCTCAGCCATGTTAATATTGTTATTATTATCCACTCTGTATCTGTGTCTTTCTGGCTAAATAAACTGTTTCAATTCAATTCAATTCACTTCAATGATATTGTCCCTGGGGATAGCCATGAATTTCCAATTGCTACTGCAGTTAGATTATTTTAATGCCCAAACATCAGAGAATTTGATGTTTGCAGTTTAGTTAGTGTCAGTTATCTATTTAAGAAAGTAATTAATCTCCTGAACTATTCTGTCAACCTGTATAATCTTCAAAATCTAACGTACCCATTGTGAATAGTTCCTTGTTCGCAACCGTGCTGAGCTTGTAAAACTAGTGTTAACTACGTGTGTAATTCCACTTTTTCCTGGCAAGCTCAATCTCTGATTAGATTATACGTATGATTAAAGGTAAGAAATTCACCTGACCCATGGCAATGATTTTCATAGTTAAATGTACAGCGACTGAGTTGAATGTAATTTCTGTCACGGCAGGATTAGCCTTTCTGGCATGTGTTCCGCACAGGCCTGAGTTGCCAGTTAGCCGTATATAAGCTCGTGCGCGAGGAGTAGTGTCACATCTCTGACGCTGCTCCATCATTATCTTGGGTATGTGTACGTCTCCGTCCGCCATATTAAGTCAGTTTAACTCAGTGAATTTTGTGAATAACAGTGTTCATGTTGTAACAGTGAAATTGTCATTCACCCAGTGAAAGAATTAATGTAACGTAAATATCATTTGCCGTTGCTAGACGAAAGATTGCTTGTGATTGAGTTATTAACATCTCTGATGCTTCTCCATCATTATCTCAGGCACAGTGTGTGTGTTAGGTTAGGTTAATCTAAGCTATACTAGGTTAATCTATGTTAGGCTAGGTTAGGTTTGGTTAGATTAGGTTAATAGATGCTACCATACAGTGTACACTTTCACTGAGCAGGATCATCACACTCATCATTATCTTCATCACCCATCATCAAATCAGGGTGAAGTGAAGTGGTGGGTGATACTGGCTGACTGTGGGAGGCAGGAGATGCTGGCTGGCTGGAGTTTCTGACTTTGTTGCAAGCTTGAACAATGAATTAATGGAGGAGCCACTGGTTGTCATTGCAGTGCAGGTAGTTAAAATGGAACTTCATTATGTGGGGACTTACTGTACCTGCAAATCCCTTTAGAGGTGAAGTAATAAGATATGCTTGATATAATGCCTGGTTCATTGAAGGTAAAATCAGGGAACTACTGCAGAGAAAGAAGGTGCAAGGATCACTGATGAATCAACTCCATGAGTGCAACAGTGGATAAACACCAAACATTCAGGAGATGATTTCTTTTAATGCACTAAAGTGTATTTATCATTTTAAATTCAGTTAGCCAATTATATATCTATTATATATTGCATTATTGCATTTTTTCTTGTACATTTGGGCAGAATAGTTCATCATTTCTCTTTAATTCTAAAAGGGCAACACACATTTATAAAGACCAATGTCATAATGGGATGAATATTTGATAAAACCTAAGTACTGTACACCATCACCACTTTTTCAGTCACAAATATGACTACAAGATGTTACACCACCACCCACTACTCTCTGAGTTGCCTTCACTTTCTGAGTTTCTCCTATTAGCTGTCAACAAATGAATGTCGTCCTCATCGCTGGAAGACGCCCAGTCTGTGTCATCTTCTGAGCCAGAGTCGACCGCTGGACTTGACATTTTGCGAAGAATATTTGGACGAATTACTTCACTTGCAATTTTCTTCACTTTATTTGTAACTGCACTGGAAGACAAATCCACAACCTTGGTCAATTGAAATTAAACTATCATCAATAGAGAAAAAAAGATACAATTATTAGAAATCATGAACTCTGTCTTCCACACAGATGTCGTTCTATTATAAAAACTAAACATGAGTCACCACAAGATAACATATCACCCTGGACTCCGACTGTGGTTTATCAATCAACAAAAAGACCACAACTATGCCACAACTCAATGATGCAGAAACATTTTGCTCAATGCACATCAGCTATCCATATGCCATACACTTTGTTTACCAAATTTCATGAAATACTGAAATGTTAAAAAATGCTAACTGATAAATTCTAATAAATTTAAAATCATGATTGCTAACACACTGACTGCAATATGAATGTCTGATAAAACAGAACAAACGAAATCTGTGGTAGATGTGTCAACAAATACACATACCCACATGAGCTGATTCATTACAATAATACAAAATGTTCCTAGATAACTGAAGTACAAAATCCCATTTTACGGCCAAAGAGACAAGCAAGAGACCTGTGGGCTGCCAAGCACCTCAATGATAGAGTCTGTCATTGTTTGAAGATTTACAATGCTCAACAACGAGGACAGAATTTTAAAGTACAGTATTGTTAAAAGTAATGAGCACAATGCAATCTTCTCAACTTAGCTGATTAGCTACATGAGATTGATTTACAGTAAAAAACTTAAAATCCTTATGGAAGCTAATTCACCAATCGAAATTTCGTTAATCGAAACGTTCGTTAACCGAGGGACCACTGTAGTGATAAATTTTAAATATTTCCTGCACGATTTCCCTCGTGAAATAAAAAAAAATATCGCTATACTGTACCTGTTTAGGACAATTTTTATAATTCTGGTAGCCGTGATATAAATTTTTTTATATATAAAGTCGCAATATAACCTAACCTACTGTACGTACTTGTAAATGCCACAATATTATCATATGACCAAGAAGAGAGTCACACCAGGAAAAAGGGTTGTTTCTTAGATAGACTATTTGTTGAATAACAGCACATCAAAATATATGAAACTGCCTCTAGTCACTAATATGGTTCTCTTGCTTGATAACTCCAGGTAAAAACTGTGTCAAAGTCCTTCATTATGAATCCCCAAGCTTCAATTCGCAAAACAAGAGAGAAACATGATATATTGCATGTGTCCTGCAATGAGTTTAAGCATAACAACATCATTGTTTGTTTTACTGTAATGCATTCTGGGGGAAAGGCAGGATGATTTTCTGGAGGTGTATGTAATATTATATGAGAGTGATGTTACAGGGACAATTTTAAAGTGTTCTGTGATGGAAGACTACAAAATTTATAACCTAATGTATAAAAGATAATCCTTACTTGCCATTCTGCTGTACCCACACCTTCAGCAAATGTCCTCCTGTGACAATAACTCCTGGTGATGTGCTCATGGCCAGATAGCGACCTTCATCCTTATCAATGAGGGAACATATGTACTTGTCACTTGCTACTTCCCGAACTGTTGAAACAAATTTGAAATACAGTACAGGTATTTGAAAAACTAGACAATCACTGTTAAAATTTTGAAGTTAAACAGAGGCCATAATAATGGAAAATACTGATTATTAAATTCAGCCATAATCTTCTTGATACATTTATACAAAATGAGCAGAAATATTTTTTTAAGGAAATGTAGATAAGAGAAATAAAAATATTTGAGAATATTTATACAGTATAGTCTCGATTTACGCGGATTTGGTTTACGAGTTTGGTCATTTACGCGGCACCTTGCCAGACCGACGGTTTTCATTTACACGGTTCATTCCATCATTTATGAGGGAGGCGGCGCGGGCAGGGTGCGCACAAGGTCGCCCAGTCATCAAAACATTACCGAGTTCTTCACCCGCCACCTACCACAGCAGGCCCAAGTCAGTGATAGTGAGGATATGGACCTTGAGGGGTTTGACAAAGAGGCCCTGCAAGCCTCTGTGGTGGATAGTGATACAATTGATACAAGTGATACAGGTGAGGGCCAATAATCTGCCCTCTGCCTCGGAACCATCCCCCCATCCCCGTGTGGCCAGCCATCTTTTCTACTGACGTAAGTGTTAAAAAACCTAATATTATTGATATTTCTCTTAAATATTAATTGTGTGTGCATACCATCATAAAATTAAAATGTTATTTTTATTACAACGTAGGTATTGTGTTGTAAAAAGTGGAGTTTGGGGGTCGGCCCAGTCTCTATTTCAATTAATCCCATATGTTCTGTTACTTGTCCAAGTGTATTTCGTTTACGCGTTTCTCGTTTTACGCGGACCTCCACGGGTTCAATTGACCGCGTAAATGAAGACTATACTGTGCAGGTACACAGTAATCCCTCGCCAAAGACAGGTTTACCAACCACTGTTTAAGGTATCCAAAATTTATATTTTATACATAGTTTTAGTATCTATGATATCCAGTTTTGCATATCCACCATTATCAAATTTCTAGACCAAAGCAATGGGAATATCCACTGTATCGAATCTATCCAGTGTTTCTTCTTGTTTACTACATCATATGATAATTCTGCATCTTCTACCACTCCTGGATCCTTTTCCCATATTGGTTCTTGAAAGAAATTTGTGTATTTTTATCCATCACACTATAAATATGTTGTATGACTTTCTACTGTGTTGGCAACAGTCATCACTTCGCACTCTGCATAGTGTAAAGTATACTACATAGTATTTCTTTAAATTATAATCATTGTTGTACATTATAATACTTTAGATATGTCTCTCAGGGGTAACTTTCACAAACCCCTTAACCCCTACACTATGGGACACTACAGTACTTTTAATATTTTATTCAGCTAATGCTAAACAATTTTATTCAGCACAGAGTTCACACAAGATGTTCAATGGACCCAACCGTTGCCAAATGTGGTAACTTGAGAAGGTAACCCCATGGCTGGCAAGTGATAACTTTCATCTTGGAGAAACTATTACAAATGCAGAACACATTTGCCGAGGGAATTAGTAACAATAACAGTAAAAATCGATATAGCGCGAGATACGTTCCAAGAGAGGTCGCTTTAAACTGAATTCACACTAAATCAAAGTGTTGTTTCAATAGAATAATTTATTTTGGTACTTGAGATAAACACAAAATTCTAAAAACACTGACAGTCTACCCAGATGCACCTCAGCCCATCTCCTAGAATAAACAAAACATTGTTTGTTGTAGTATTATGTTAAAACAAACACTCATAAATCAACACAGCTAAAATTAAGGGATGCAAAATAGTCTGTTTACTGGCTGGGAAGATGGAGGGGAGGGAGGGAAGTAAGGTGATATGTTTGACAGTTGATGCCAAGGTCTATTGCTTATTTATTTATCTGTCCTTAAGAGTGATGAAGTTTTACTCTTATAAAATGTCACTGAACTAACCTGGGAGAATATAATTAACATTGCTGGAATTCTTATAAGATAGTGATTAGTTTCAATATACAGATACTCCTCGACTTACGACCTCCCGGACATACGACCACCCCAGTCGTACCAAAAAATTTTAAAATTACGTATTTCCGAGTCTACACGTTAGTGATTGTGCTGTGTACTGACAAAAAAAATTTTGTAATTCCCTTTAAAATAGCTGGCATGCTTAAAAGTGAGAGTTTTGTGGTGCTGAGAAGAAAAAGAGACACCCATTTTAGATTTTCTACTGTATGTATTATCTTCGCATTTTTAACTTACGACCAATTTGACTTACAACCAGGATTTGGGTCCCTAACCCCATCGTAAGTTGAGGAGTGGCTGTATACATGCTACAGTTCGCATTAGACATACAAATTTTAGTTTCAATTAATTTTATTACAAAGGGCTAAAATTTTTATCTCTTGTGCAAAATATATGACATTTACAGTCATTTCTGCTGCAACGCGTGTTTTGTCAACGTGAATTGGCTATAACGCAATTGATGAATAGAAGAACGATATTTGTTAAATGTGAACTCGTGTTGGCTGTGATGCGATTCCACTCGAACATTTTAAGTGTATCATCGCTTGGCGTAGGATTATGCAGTGCTTACAGTTCACATTCGACATCACATGTTCAATTGATTCAAGTGTTTTGTTTGTGAAGTGTTATTTGATAGGGACTCTATAAATTTCATCCATTTTTTGAGGGAAGTTCATAAGCTGTTGCAGCTCTTGGAAGACAATGACTACATTGCAGAACGGAGCAGGATTGCAGTTCGTGGTGTTAAATCTTTTTTGGCACCTTATGAACAGCTTCTTTGTGAAAGAAGAACGACGGCAAAGCAACAAACAGTAGACGTCTTTTTTAGGTCAACCCCAAAGAAGCAGACTGAAGACACTGAACCACAGCCATCCACTTCTGGAATTAAGACGTTTTTTCGTCCCAACCATGCAACCAAAACTGCACCTGATGATGACACTGATGATGACGATGACGACAACTCTCAACTCCTGTCTGCATGACTCCTCAACATCAACCTTCTTCCCCATCAAGTTATATTCATATTTTTTCAAGGTAAAGTGTTACATTTACTGTATGATTTCGTTATTAGATATGAATGTACCAGTAACATTTATTTAGACTGTGCTATCCTTTGTTAGGCTAACTACGAAATTTTTTCAATTTCGAGTAATCTGCACCTAACCCTATTTTCTCCATAAGCCCTGTTATTTCTATTGTGCGAATTTCTACAACACGATGTTTTACAAGAACACAACTATTGCGTTGTAGCAGAACTGACTGTAACTCCAATTGCACAACCTCACCTCACTACCTCACCTAACTCAGCACTCAACATCATTTCTGTTAAGTTAAATTTGGGTGTTTTGTGGATTTATTATCATGTTACATCATGAATGAATCACTGTATGTGTTTATAACTGTCTATTTTCATTCATAATGTACTTGCGTTACAGCTGTATCTAGTAGTCTGGTATGCCATACAAGGATGACTCCTTCCTCCAATTTTACTCCCATCTCTAGCTGTTATTGATATGGCAAATATGACAAGCAGGCATACCAACTTATGATAACGCAATAGGGATCAAATCAAAGCATTTCATCGAGCATTTCAAATTGTAGTGAAAGAAAATCTAACAATACTTTTTGGGGGACTGTACATTAAGGAAAGAACCAACTTAACCCTTAAGCCCCGGTTTAGGGCGCTGCCAGTAACCCCGGTATAAATAAAATAACATCAACTTTCCCAGAAATAATAAATAAAAAAGTGGCAGGAATAGGCGGACATTCTGGAATGTCAACGAGGACACGCTAGTCGGACGTTCTGGAACGTCACCCGGGGCCTAAGGGTTAAACATACTGTAAAACTTGGATCTTCTAGTGTCTCAGCGGTAAATATTCACAAATTATTATATTTCTTTTAAAATTTGCCTCCATAAAAAAAAAGATTGGACCCGTATGTGACCTAGGCATAAGTTCACTTACCATTGATGGAAGAGCATCCAGAATCAACGAAGTAAGAGGCAGCAAGAAGGCATCCATCTGCAGAGACTGCAAGACTGTCTGTCATTCCAATGTCTCCCAAGTGGTTTACGAGACGTGACACACGACCTGAATCACAAGAATGAAACTGATATATTAAGCTGACAGCAGTTTACTGACAACACACTCAAATTCGCAAAAAATACAGCTCATAATTTGACTAAGGCATAAAAATGCTTCCAAAGGAAATCTAAGCTTTAGGAATAAGTAAGTGCATTTGCTCTTACCTAGAATCAAGGTCAAGCACAGACTCTCATGTCATATTCCCTCACACTGCCTTACAAGATGTGTTGTGCTATGGAGCACCCTTTCCACAATCAACAATCACAATATCCTTCCGATGCACACAACCTGGCATCATCCACTGATAAATAAATAATTGAATAATTGTAGACATCAATCTACCAACTTACTTTATTCTTAGTAAATTTGGCAAAGCATTGGCATTTTTTATGATCTAAGACTGCCCTATGACTTCCTTGTTAGTTGAATACAGTACTCCATAACAATACTTTTAAATCAATGATATCCTTCTCATCTGTGCTCTTACAACAGTCGTTATTACCAAATATGAAACACACCTTCCATGTACGTATAACTCAATTTCAACCTCAGATCCTGATAACAGTGTCCCCCCTCCCGCAGTACCCACACCAGATTCATCATATCTGATGAAAAAAAAATTAATTTCATATCCTCCTTGTGTTAGCTTCCCATTCCAATATAAACCTGCAGAGCCCCAGGACATGGTATTATCTCACCTCTAATCCTCATAAAATGTGCACCTAAATTTACTTCTCATCTTCCTAAGCTTTAACCCTTACTTACACTTCTCATACAGCTACCTTGTACTGGAACGCAGCTATTGTCCAGTCTATCCCATAAAAAAGTAATCCATCCTTTTCTTCTAACTACCAACCCACAGCTCTTACCCCAAAGTCAGGGTATCTGACAAACAAACAACTACTTAAACACATTTTCAATATATTAGTTTGAGAAAATTTTTATTTCATGTGGTGGTTTTCTACTAACTCTGTCTAATTTTAAAATGCAGTAACTGGTGATACAGTAGTAGCAAGCTTGCCTCTCACTACTGTGTCCCAAATTGGATCCTAGGTTGGAAGCAAGAGGGGTGTTATCCAGTATGACTCTGTCAAACATCACAAGATTTCTCCATGTACAATACTGCACCACAATTTTCCACCTGTACTAGCACTGAATGCATAAATGACAAACAAACTCCACAAGAACAATCGAGGGATAAAATAAGTCACCAGCTTCCTTCCAATGTTAAAAGTATACTTTTTTACACTCATCCAAATTTATTCTTGAAATAATGCACAATTTACTTACTCTTCTTCCACTCTAGAATCTTAATGTTTGGGCCACTGTCTCCCAAATAACATTTCCCATTTTTGGCCACCAGGGTAGCTAAACGCTTCAGTGTCACATATGTCACAGAATCAGTTTCCATGATGTAAACAGCTCCCAAAGCTCTCCGGGTGGAATCGTATTTCCATATGCCCATCTCCCCATCAGCACTTCCAGCATATACCTCATTTTTCTCAATCTGGGTGGGAAATAATTGCCAAAAGTCTTTATAGAATTCCATGAAATTACTAAAAATTTATAATCCTATGTGCAAAATTTTAACTATGAAAATACCGTACATATATTTTCTTAAATAACTTACATATAGGGCAGTGATTTGGCTCTGAAAAGCATTGACAAAGGCAAGGCGTTGACCAGTGGCTACACTCCAAACTTCCAACTTGCCTCCTTCTGTTCCAGTCACCACTCCCCATGTCCCACAACTAAGACAAGTGATGCCATTATAGGTATAGATGGAGCCAAGACCTTCCCCTGGAATGCAAATAATTTTTTAATTCAATTGGTGAAAGAATACATTTATTACTCTCTAAGAATGATTATGAACTGCCTCATGAACAGTGTTGGGCATATTTCTTTTATGAAGGGTACTGTACGTAATTAAAAATTAAACTTCTAAAATTTAAGTACCGTACAACAGTTTGCAGCCTTAAAATTCACCTTTCACCAGCTTAAGGCAATGAACAACTAGTTTTCAAAGCAGGCTGTAAACTAAGGGGTTGTATAGAACACTGCATATATAAAGTTTCTCACCTTAATCTATATAGTAAAACCTTGATAACTCAGCACATATGGGGCTCTGGCCTTGCTGAATTATCCCAAATTCCGACTTAAGAAGGCACTTCCCCCCCTACAAAAATACAATAAAAATTAATCAGCCCATATACGTATACAGTACTGTAGTATACTGTACATGTAATTACTAATTTTCAAAAAGTAACACTTACCAGCACTGCAGGCAAAGAATGAAGCATTATAGTAGGCAAAAGGCATGGTAGTGACACAGGGGAAAGGTAGGTGAAGCAGGGAAATGGTAGGTGTTGCAGGGGAATAGTAGGTGGCACAGGTGATGGAGGGGAAACACTACATAAACGGTAAACAGTATGGTCACTTATACAAAAATAAATAAAATACAATTTAAATAAATAATTGTTTTTCTACATATAATTCATGTTTGTGTATGTAAATAAACATGTAACTTGTATCACTAGGGATATCATAGTCCACTAAAAGAAAACCGTTTTCTTTATTACAGAGCAAAGGAGTAAAAATTAAAATACTGTAATGTGGCTTAGAAATAAAGAAAATATTATATAAAACTATAAAATAATAAAAATTATGAGCATAGGTGTGTGTGGGATGAGAACGTATGAAAAGGCAGTGAGCTGTACTGTGTGGCTGACTCACCTGCATCCCTCCCTGTCATGTGACATCACAGCAGAAAAGGATAAAATACAAATAAGGATAGTTCACCAAGCACTTGTTTTACCCACAATGCACAGTTCGGTGACGTCACTGTTAAAAACACGCATAATCTGATGACTTTCGTGTGTGCCTGTGCCTGCTCCAGGGACCAGTGTATCAACAATAATGATCACTTGTACAGTACAAAGTTAAAAAAAAAAATGCAGTAAAGTACACTTACTTTGAGGTGTGTATGTAGAAGGCTCCTGGTTGATGATGATGATGATGGGAATTAGAAGTGGGGGTGGAGGAGAAGGGAGAAGAGAAGAAAGTGGGGATGGAGGAGAAATCACCTTTTAGGGGACCCATGCTTGATGCCGTCATTTCACCAATAAAATTTTAAGTTCACTAGGTGTAATTCAAGATTATTTTCTTTAAATCAACACTGCACTGCGCTATATATTATCAATATGTTATAAGTTCAGAATGACCAATAATTTTTATGTAAAAATGCAAAAATATTCTAGACACCAACAAAATAGATGCTCTCTCCACCATTTCAAAGTCTCAACTAACGCCTTGTGACCAACTCACGCATCTGATGGGTGCACAACTAACTAGTCCCCTGTACTGCATATATTATCAATATGTTAAATAAATGTTATAATGACTAATAATATTAATATAAAACATGCAAAACTATTATAAAGCACAACTTTATTGATATTTACTCCATTGGAAACAAATGTAAACATAGAACAGATTACTGAATTGGCAGACTAGGCCATCAGCTGACCAGCTGATGCTCACAACAAAAAGTAATTTTCGTAAGGATTTCGTCAATCAAATTTTTTTTTCGTTAACCGAGTTGAAGATTCCCATGGAAGGTAATTCGTTAACCGAAATTTCATTAGCTGAACCATTCATTAACCGAGGGACCACTGTATATCATATTTGTATCACTTATGTTACTTGTATATTATTTGTAAATCAAAAGACCCATTCCCAATTATGTAACTGTATATTTTCAGCCTTCCGGCTGCCATGCTCTTTCAAAAACTTTTAATCACACACACACACACACACACGCGCGCGCATCTCAGTAAGCTGGTTGACTACCTGGCTGAACTATAGCATCACTTAGATGATGGGGTGAATGAATTTTGTACATAAAATATGTGCTATTGTATTTTATGATATGCTATGTATCAGTTTTATTGTTTATCAGAGCAATTTTTGTTTAAAAGTGGTTATAGCACTACTGGTGTCAGACACACTCATAAATAACTTATGTTACTTTCAAATTGTTGGTCTAAATTAGAATTTTTACCAAAGGGGACAAAGTTGGGATACCTGAAATATTCAATAGTTGGAATTCAGATAAAATAAATTGCACTATAAATTAAATAAAGTCTACAACATTGTATTTACCATAATAGTGGAGACGTTCTCCATACAGTGGCTGGCCTGACATGAATGGGGGAGGTTGTTGGGTGTTAATGGGTTAGTACCGCAGGAACCAAATTTTACCAGGGAGTGCTGAATATTAACTCTGGTGCTCTAGATCCTCTGTGGTGAAAAGTATAGTACATTATACCCAAAATATTGGGGTGCTACAACACTCTCTTCCCACGTCGATGTACTGGGTGGAGTGAGCCAGAACGCACCCGACCACAACAATAACAAACACGAGACATACCAAGCGTGGAGCACAGCTCAACGAATGTTACCCACACCGCCAAATATGCCGAGATTTTCCCAGATAATTTTATATAACTTGGCATTTTCCGAGTTATTTTATTCCGAGACCATATATGTGCCAAATAACATGAAATTCCGAGATATCGAATGCAGAGTTATCAATGGTTCACTGTAATACAGTTTTTGAGCTATAAATAATGTAAACTTTTTAACAAACCTGACAATATATCCCACACCTTCAGCATACAGTCCAGACCACCTGAGACTGCCAAAACACGGCAGTCTGCCGAAACTTGTCCCTGGACTGATGGCAGTTCATCATAATCTGCCTGTTAGAGGAAAAAAAGCATAATTATATTCATACACATGGTCCCTCGGTTAATGAACACAATTCGTTCCAGAAGGTCGTTCGTTAACCGAAACCATTGTTTCAATGGGATTTTGGGTAATTGGTTCCAATTCACCGAAAATTACATACAAACTAAAAATAAATGCAGTAAAGTACACTTACTTTGAGGTGTGCATGTAGAAGGCTCCTGGTTGATGATGATGATGATGGGAATTAGAAGTGGGGGTGGAAGAGAAGGGAGAAGAGAAGGCAGTGGGGTGGAAGAGAAATCACCCCATGCTTCATGCAGCCATTTCACCCATAAAATTTTAATTTCACTAGGTGTAATTCAAGATTATTTTCTTAAAATCAACACTGCACTGCATTATATATTGTCAATATGTAAAATAAATTTCAGAATGACCAATAATTGCACTGTAAAAATGTAAAAATAGTTTATGTTCAAGAGAGTCTCAAGCAAGATGCTTCCTCCACTGAGCAGAGACACAAACTGACGCCATTCTGGGTGAGTCAAGTGACTGTTTGGCGAGCTAAAAACTAGTTCCCTGTACTTCAATTATGTTAAATAATTGTTAAAATGAAATGATTGCCAAATGGCAGTGCAGTACTGTATTGAATTTTTATTTTCTTCAATTTATTAGTATCACTTTTATTCATTCCTCACCCCTACGGAAGAATTCATCAGCCCGCAGAGGGATGAAGATGCCGCACTAATTTGCGGATACTCAAAATTTTATGCCCCGGTTGGTGAATTGGTATAGAGTAAAAACCATGGATACCCGGAATCTGCGTACGGGAAATCTGAGGTTGGCGAGGGTCTACTGTATTCATTACACTGAAAAGTTCAATAAAGAAATACTCCTACCTCAAACTTTGCTAACACAGCTGCAGCCTGAGGTCCTGGTAAAAATGCCACAGAAGTAACAGCTGCAGTATGTCCACGAAGACTTCTTTCTTCCTCTATGTTACCCACTCTCCAAACACGTACAGTTGTGTCTCGACTGAGAAAAAGTGTCATTATTAGTTCCAGATCATTATATCTTGTTACTTTATTTTCTTGTGTATACAGGCATCGCCCAGGTTACGGAAGGCTCCCATTCATTATTTTTTTTTCTGTATCACGAAATTCCATAACGCAGGACCATTTTTCACATTGACTCCCATTATTTAAGTTGAGATGCTTTCCCAAGGAAATATTAATGAAAGAAAACAAACAGTTTTAAACACATACAATGATGTAACATGACAATAAAAGCACACACTTGAATTTTACTCACCAGACACGATGTTAAGTGCTGCACGAGGTGATGAGGTGAGGTGGTACATTCAGAATTACTGGGAGTTACCTCCTTAAAACATCAAGTTTAATGTCCAACATAATGCCTTTATAGAATCTTTTATCACCACTTCTTTCACTTGAACGTCTTTTTCCACTCATCTTGAATAAGGGTACACAGAAACAGACACAAAACTGTACACAAGTTGGGGAAAGAATTCTAACTGAGGAACACCATTGTTGTGCTGGCTACTGGGTGAGTGCCCTCCAACCGTCTTTTACCGACCACCAAGAATCCACACAAAATAAATTTTATAATTTTGGTAAATTTCTTTGTTATATATTGCGATTTTTAGGTTTGAAAATTATAAAAATTTACCCAAATTCCATAAGGGTGAATTTTTGGCCCACATCCAGAATATTTGGGGCACAATATCAAAATTCCGTAAGGGCGAATTTCTGTAACTCGAGTTTCCATAATGTAGGGGTTGTCTGTACTTCAGTGCTTCTACTTTTATGTGCATTTAGTGGGTCAACCAACAGTTTTTACCCTCAATAGCAGCTGCTTTGCTGATAACTAATTATGTACAATAATTTGGTACAATATGGTGGAGCAAGCAGAAGTCAATTTCTATGTGGACGACTTACTCATGTCACTGGACTCGCTAAATGAGGCATCAATGTTAGCGTGTCGGCTTAGAAAACTACTGGCGCACGGAGGATTTCGGTTAACCGAGTGAGCCAGTTATCATAAAGGAGTGTTGGCTACCATCCCGCCGGAGGAGAGGCAAAATGGACTGAAGGAAATTGATCTGAGGCAGACAAGTTGCCAATGGAGCGAGCCCTAGGGGTTAGGTGGCTCCTGGAAGGTGATCAGTTTGCCATCAAGGTACAAACACAGTCAAGGCCAGCGACCAGGAGAGGATTGCTAACCCTTGTCAGTTCCATTTATGATCCACTGGGGTTTGTGGCCCCATTCATCATCAGGGCTAAAATATTATTTCAGGATGAATGCAGACATCGCCTAGGATGGGATGAACCTTAATCAGCTACTGTATTAATCACATGGCCTGGAGAACCTAGCTAGGAGAACTGGCCCACCTAGGGAAATTTAGTGCACCCAGGTGCCTGAAAACAGTATATGTTACAGAAATCATCTCAACTCAGTTGCACACATTTTGTGATGCATCGCAAGCTGCCTATGGTGTGGCGACTTATTTGAGACTAGGAGACTCTGACGGAAATATCCAGTGCTCTTTCGTGTGCGGACGGGCCAAGCTGGCCCCACTCAAGCAACTAACAATACCAAGGCTGGAACTTTGTGCAGCTGTCATGGCAGTAAATGCAGATCGACAAGAAATGACCATGACTATACACAAATTTTACTTTTGGACGGATAGCATGCTAGTCTTGCAGTATATCAACAATTCGAGTAGACGATTTCAAACGTTTGTAGCCAACAGAATAGCAGCTATACAAGAACTGTCAAGCATAGACCAGTGGAGACATGTCAGCACATCACTGAATCCAGCAGACGATGCAACTCGGGATTACCTGCTCGGGTCCTGGTTGCAGGATCTCGGTGGATACGAGAGCCTGAGTTTCTACTGAAGGAAGAACAGTTAGCCAAAGGGAAAGGTACTGCCAGTAGCTCTGAACGATTTGCTGGAGGTGAAAGGAGAAGTACACCAGAAAGCTGTAGTTGCTTTGGCAGTGAGTGAGCAGTCAAAATGGTCCTTGGACAAACTGTGGCTCAGGTGCTCGTCATGGCAATGTTTGGTAAAAGGGGTGGCGTGGATTAAAAGGTTCATTCGGCGGCTCGGAACGAGCATAAGAAACAGAGACCTACGCCTCAAGCTGAAGAGGCTAAGCACTAAAGAATTACAGTCAGCTGAAGAGACAATTATACGCTTAGTGCAGAAAGAAGTTGCAGATAAACCTCATTGGTTACGAAACTGCCACTGCACATCTTCCCATCTGTCATCAGTGTACCCTGTAGTCCTTCTGTGTCATGTATTCTTATTAGTAAGTTCCTTTATCTACACAACAACAATTTTGTACCAGTACCTCCATTAACAATTTCCAGAAAAGAATTACCCAATAACTTCAAAATTTCACAATCATATTTTCCATAACTACATACACCCAACAACAGCTACATTAACTGACCTTGCTGATAATACATAATTGTCCATACAGTCAACTCCTAAGATGATATCATTATGCCCCTGAAGAGTGTACACTTCATAACAATTGTCTAGCCACAGGGATTTCTCTCTTTTCACTGAAGTTTGAGGTTTTGCTTGACCTTGGGCGAGTTTCTGATTAACTGCATGATTTCGCTGAGCTCCAGAAGGCGTCGATGGTCTTACAGCCACTGAGGTATTGTTATAGCCAGGGGGTGAGTTAACAGGGGAAAAATCTGAAGTAGGCATAGAGGCAGTGGCAACATCTGATGGGTTTTGAGAATTAGCTGATAATCTGGTTGAAATTTCTTGCTGCTGCTTGTTTATTCTTGAGGTGTCACTGGACAGGGCTCCCTCTTGACCTTCCGGTTCATCTGGAATCTCTTGATTTATGTTAGATGTATCAATATTCTTGAACTTCTTGACATTAATTTCTTCTGTATTGAGATTGGCCCTGTAAAAGATGTGACTTAATGGACATGGCTTATTTAAATTATTTTACACAAATGACTCATATACAGTACACCAATAGTTCTATTTCTTACAAAAAAAGGAGTAAGGTCAAATACATACTGTAGTTGCAAGGTGGGTTTTTTTTTTAATACTGTACTGTACAGTCACCTATTGATTTACATGGATTTAATAACACTACCATTAAATTAAAACCTATTTTTAAAAAACACAACTTTTTTTTAAATAGCATAGTTTTTAAAAGCATTCCATAGTGCCAGGCAGCATAGTTCAGTACTGGACAACACTTACAGTACATGTTATTCTTAGTTATTAAAAGAAAATGAAAGCTGAGCAAACCTCATTGCTTTACTAATTTACGAAAAAGGAAAAAGTTACATCACCTGAACCTCAGGCATTGACATCTGGCATCTTGAAAGCTCCCACTTCTCCTCCCCCATCGACTGTGCTGTCATCTAATTCAGGTGACTCCCTCCCCCAATAACCCCCACCTCTCCTCCACCAGGTCCTGCATGCCATTCCACCCATCCTTTTCATACTACTTTATTATTAGGTTTGTTTCTCTTATTGTATCATTAGTGTTATTAATGTAAATACAACATATTGAAGGAAATAGACAACAAATTAACATTTTTAGGGAGTGTTTCCCCTAACCCTTGCCATTTCCTTTATTTCTTATGGGATAATTAAGTCTGATTTACACATTTTTTTACTTACACTGCCATTCTCAAGAACATAACTACCATGTAAATCGAGAGGTAGCTGTATACTACAAAGGCCTATATATATATTTTTTATAAACCTACTTCAATTCATTTAATGGAGAATGAAATGTGATCAACCAAATTGATAGAAAATAAATAAAAGAGAATACAGGTACTGTATTTAGTTCTGGATTCCTACCCTTGCCGTTTCATGACATCTGTTTCATGGGGATGATGTTCCTTTAGCAACTTTCGAAGATCTTTTCGAAGGCCAATCTTTCGGCTAACCTGAAACAAATTTCCATATTAAAGAACATGAGAGATGTATTGGAAGTGATACAAACAGGTCCCGCTAAATGAGTAACCAATGAACGATGAATTCAGTTTAACAAGGTTAATGTTTTCGAGGTGGTTATTTGACCGGGATTTCCGGCCGAAAAACCATCGACTATTTGACTGAGATCCGCTGGAATTGTGTACGATTTTACTATGATTTTAAACGGATTCTGGTCACGATTGCTGTGGCCATTACACTTTGCAATATTATTTAAATGTTGAACGATTTATCACTACGGTGATATCTCCGTTAGCTGGAATAATTGATGCAGAGCACTTCCGGGAATGAGAAATATACAGGTACTGTATTGAAACGACTCTCTCAAAGCCGGAAGAAAATCCTTCATCCCCAGAATTTTTCAGGTAATGGAAATTGTTCTCGGAAGTTCCAGAAATTGCCCATTACATCCCTGGAATTTTCTGGGTATTGGGAAATTTTTCTCATAATTTTCCGGAAAATGTGCCCCTCGGAAAATCGTTCCCAAAGCCGGAATTTTAAAAAAAAATTCGGGCTTTAGGAACAAACTTTTCGAGGTTGAAAATCAAGAGAATTTTCTGAAATTGTCTTAAATAAAGATGAAAATATTTTTTGGGGGACCTGACCTGACTCAATGTCATATTTTTTTTTCTTTTATTGGGCACCCCCCCTACATTCTTGTGTAAGGTGAAGCACAGAAGCATTTTACAGAACCCAACAGGGAAGCATGCTAAGTTCTTGCTTGCCTTTATGTCTCATGAGTTAAGGGCGTAGAAGCCTGAAGAGTCAATGGCGTAGAAGCCTGAAGAGTCAATGGTTTTATGTCTAAGCAAGTTATTGGAAGCTCCAACAACTTGTCCCTGAATACGAATTCGCAACTTTCGATTTACAGCAGGTACCTACATTGCTGCTAGGTGAACAGGGACCAAGGGGACGAGGAAGAGTGTTCAAACAACTTCCACCGACCCGGGAATCGAACCTGTGACATCTTGCTTGCGAGGCAAGAGCGGTACCGTTCTACCAACCGGCGCCCCTCAATGTCACATTATTGACATTCTGGTGGAATGTCGGGTCACCTTTTCTTGGGTAGGGGATTAGTGGATCTCATGACCTGAAGTTGTCTTGAATAAACACGAAACCTAAAGTATTTTTAGGGAGATTGCGATAAGTATACTGTAAATGAGCAAAGTTGTATCCCTTCAACATTACATTACATAACATTTTAAAATATGGGGTGAGAAATCAGAAAGGTGTGGGTGATTAGAGAGATGGAGTGGAAAGGAGTGGTAACATGCACCAGTGTTGACAAGTGATAAGCTCCTCAACAGCTGATCTTTTAATTCACCTCCATTCAGTCACACAACAAGACCCTCATTGGATGCTTGTTGTCTTAATTCTCATGTGTGTGTGTGGTGTGTGTGTGTGTGTGTGTGTGTGTGTGTGTGTGTGTGTGTGTGTGTGTGTGTGTGTAATAATAATAATAATAATAATAATAATAATAATAATAATAAACGGTTTATTAATAGAGTTGCAGCCGGTGGCTGAAAATATACAGACTTACATTGATTTAGACATAATGATATAATATGCATTGAATACATTTACAGGGCTGTACAGTACATAAATCAGGAGTTGTTTATTATTTTAACAATAGATGGGATGGTGCTGTTCTTATATCTATCAGTGCGGGCTCTTATGGGCTGAATTTTGTTGTAGTGGCGGACTGCGCGAGTTGGGTGGGGGGCTGCAGGTGGCAGGAGGTGGCGATGGCGAGGGTGGTGCAGTAGTCCACGGCCAAACCTTTCCAGTGCTTGGTGGTGGAGGTCACTGAGGGATGGCATTTCCAGGGTGGAGAGAGCGTTGGTGTAGCCAGAGTATTCTGCGCCGAGCATGATTCTGCAGGCCCTTTTCTGTACCTTCTCTAGCTGACGTTGTTGGGTGGAGTTGAGAGAAGATGACCAGGCTGGTGACGCATACGTTAGTTTGGGGAGAATAAAGGCGTTGTAGATGGTCCTCAGCTCTGGCGTGGGTGTCCTAAGTGACCTAAGTCTTCGTAGCATGTAGAGACGGTACGAGGCTGCCTTGACTGTGTTATTTACATGGGCCTTCCAGTCAAGTTTGTTGTCTATAGTTACACCCAGGAGTTTGGCAGACTGCACCAGCTGGAGAGGATGGGCACCCACTGTGACTGCTGGGGCTTGCACTGGCGGTATTGATGTGCATGACTACGGTTTTGGTGTGGTTGATGGTGACCTTGTTCTCCGTAGTCCATGCCTGTAGCCTGTCCAGGGTGCCTTGGAGCGATGAGTAGTCTGGTGTGGTGTTGTACACTGAAACCCCCACAGTGCAGTCATCCACGTACTTCCACCTGTGAGGAGTGTCCGATAGAGGCTCTGTGTGTGTGTGTGTGTGTGTGTGTGTGTGTGTGTGTGTGTGTGTGTGTGTGTGTGTGTGTGGTGTGTGTGGGTGGGTGGGTGTCTTGTTTTGAGCTTGCCAAGGACATTGTAGGATTTGAAGAAGTTGATGAAGAGTTTGTTCAGGAGTCAGGTGACATGCCAAGACACTTACACAGCACACACATTAACAGCACTACTAAACCATTGTCTTATAATATTTTACATTATAATTACTATTTTAAAATTAATTGATACATGATAGCTAGACTGGGTTATTTCTGCACTTAGACAACTGATCAATGAATAAACCAGGACATATGGAGACTAATTATACACTAGTGATGTCACAAAGCTTTGAAACTCCAACTATATAAATTATCACAACCTGTACTTAATTGTACTGTACTAAATTAATTACTAAAATTAGTATGTACAGAATGGTGCAAAATAAGGGATGTTTATATTCAAATTAATAGATATCTTACAAGAATCCCAGAAATGCAAGTTATATTCTCATAAGTCAAGTCAATATCATTTTTTAAGCATTAATCTCTCCACCATTTGTTGTGACCAGGAAGAGGTTGAAGGATCCATTCGGGGGGGGGGGTAAAAGTGATTGTGCCACCCCCTCCCCCAAAGGGTCGCCTCGCTGTTCGTCTAAAGTACTGACTCATTCATGATACAATAATGGTTATTTGTTTTTCATTAATATACTGTAAAAGAATGGAATTCCCATCACTACAGTATATCATATAGAAATATTTTGTTTAAGGATATCTTATTGGAAACGTTTGGTAGAGAATTTATTAAGCATCATTATGGTATCAAATTCATCTTCCTATCACAACTTGCCACGCTTGAGCGAGGAAGAGGGGTCAATGACCATGCGACCCTACCCTCCAAAAAGGTTCACTTCCATCAACACACCAACACCACCTACATATCACACATACACCCCTACATTACACACAAACACACCCTCCCTGAATGTCACATAGATCTGCGGCTCAACTAACTCAACACAGCTAGGGTAGCTACTTATGTATTAGGATATTTAATTTTAAGGCAATAAAATGGCAGCGAAGTTGTGGCTATTGGGGGAGGCTGGAGGTCATTCATTGTCATTTTAGTAATAATAATAATAATAATAATAATAATAATAATAATAATAATAATAATAATAATTCATAGTAAATAAAATTTATAAAAAAAAATTTTTAAATAATATAATTATGATAATAATAACAATACTGTAATAATAATAATAATAATAATAATAATAATAATAATAATAATAATAATAATAATAATAATAAAGAGCCATAAAGATATAAAATAATAAAAAAAAGATCAAAAGTGAGAAACAATACTGTACAATATGTATGTTGTGTTGTCAATGGTAAGAGAAACAATTGAGACCCTGCAATTGTGTGTAAATGAGGCAGAAAGATAGATCAGCAACCTGGGACTTGGTCACAATTTTCATGATGCCATATGGCAGCAGGGTCTACCATTAGGCAACACATTATGCTTCCAATATCTTCCCAGGCAGTAGTACCTCCTTGTTTAGTAGCTGCCTTTTTCGTAATAATGCTATTTTACCATAAGTGCGCACTGATTGGCTGGGTACTTTCTGTTTCATATGGAAGGGGGTTCACCCCCTGGCTAGGAAGTTAGGAAAGGTTGGACGGTTTCTTTGGTTGGTTAGGTCAGGATCTACTAGGTTCTACTAGGGTGAATTTAGTTTTACACCGGTCTTTCTTTCGCTGTTATTAATATGTATTTCGTAATGTTTAAACAACTCTAAGACATTTTTCTTCTATGATGTTCCACCGGAAATTAAGGATAACTGAGATATTCATTTTTCAAGATTATTACTTTCGCTCATTCACAAGTGTCATGGTGACGCTTGTTTACATCTGGCGGAGGAAGTCTGACACCCACTCACGCATCGCTCCAGACCTCCGTGTTCGCTTCGTAAGCATCTACAGCGCATGTGCGGGGGGGTGAAGTGGGAGGGGGGGGTTATCTAAAAAAAGCAAGTGATTTCCAAAGGAAATGGATATCAAATTCGTTTGAAACTCATCAAAAACCATAGCAAAAACCTATTTTTAATATCAAAATATAGACTGGTGTGATACTAGAAAATTGACCAGTTCTAGAAAATGTCGCTCCTTTTATAATCATAAGTTTCCATGCACAACACAAATATGGTTAGGTATGTTTACAGCTACACAACAATCGACTCGGCTAAGTAAATGCCAAATGCCACCAGTCACGGTCAAATAGAGTCCGACTAATTACCCAAATGTAGCCAAATATAGCCGGAATGAAGTCAAATAATGGTCCTAGATGAATAAATCAGACTGGCAATCACTTCTCGACTGATATTTGGTGTCACAAAGTCACAAAAAATTGGTAAACTTAATTTAATCTGAGTTAATAGATCGAGTGCATGTACCTAACCTAACCTAACCTCGACTAGTATTTGGTGTCACAAAGTCACAAAAAATTGGTAAACTTAATTTAATCTGAGTTAATAGATCAAGTGCATGTACCTAACCTAACCTAATCTAACCTAACACAACTCTGATTAAATTAAGCTTACCAATTTTTTGTGACTTTCTGACACCAAATACTAGTCGAGAAATGATTGGCAGTCCGATTTATTCATGTAGGACCATTATTTGACTTCATTCCGGCTATATTTGGCTACATTTGGGTAATTAGTCGGACCGGTCAAATATAGTTCTGGCATTGTTTGCCGGTAATAGACTATTAGCCAATCAGAGTGCACTCACGGTAAAATAGCGTTAGTAGGAACTTAACTGGTCGCGACAAAATATCCACTGCATTTAGATAACAAAATGTTTAGACTAGAGCAGCGTGATGGACATGTAATACACCAAGAGCTGTGATAGTGGCGTTAAGTGTCTACCAGTGAGTACAGGTGTGTGAGTAAGTAAAGTCAAGAAAAAGATGCACCATCCTGAAACAGAGCAACAGGTGGAAAGACCAACTAAATTAATACCTTTACAAATTCCTCTTCGTTTAATTCTCTGTCCATAAGCTCTAGGTGCTCAATCTGTCGTAATTTCTTCCTTATTTTGCGGATAGCCTTGTCGGCCGGGGACAGCTGCTGCTCCTCCTCCATTGTTTGTTTATGTGACCCAGCCGAGTGTCAGTGTGACGTCATCAACACAGCCGAGTGTCAGTGTGACGTCATCAACACAGCCGAGGACCCGAGTGACTACCCTTACGGTGTGTCCTACAGATATTAGTCTTATTTTACTACACTGATTACACTTTATATTAACTTTTCTTCTTTTGTTTTTATTTCAATGTTAAAATGAGTATTTCTCATATATGGGCTACGGTACCTATAGCGAGTGTCAGCTTTAGTTAGTTTTTTCTAACTGCCATTTGCCGAATATGGATAAAGATTAGTTTTCGGGCCATGAAATAACTCGAGCTGATAAGGTCACATTTCAGCAGTGCCAGGTTCGCTCCGGTTACGAAAAGCTTTCAGGTGATGCTGTAGTGACCTGCTCTCTTTTAATTTGTACTTTATCCTCTTCACACTGATCGGCTCGTCAGCCGCCCGGGCGATGGGTCACGTCTCTGTCACACACTGTTGGCAGGTACTGGGCATGACCCGGCTCCTGAATGTACCTGAACCTGCTCCAGTGTTGGTCAACTCTGGTCTTGAAAAAGCTCACACTCGGTGCCGTCACAACACTTTCTGATAGATTGTTCTAAGAGTTCACAACTCTCACTCCGAAAAAGTTTTGTATTGTAGTGGATTCCTCCCCTACAAGCACCAACCTCGAATGCCCCAGCCTCAGCCTACGCCTCCAGCGCCGCCCACGGAGCGGGGGTCATCTATCAACCCACGCCTACCCCCGCCTTATAAGGCCTGACACCGCTGTGATCAGTCTCGTGCTACCCAGTGCCACCAGCAAGCAACACCTCCTCCTCCTCGCCAGCCTGGCCGCTGCCGCTCCCGCCAGCGACCTTGGCGTCCCTCAAGCCGTGTGTCCCTCCCCTGGGCACCCTCACCACCCAGCTCTCTCTACTCAACGCTTATTACCATGCTACCTACCCAGCACCAAGCTGCATTGTACATCCAATACAATATGTATACATTGAGCACATTGTGAGTTTCCTTTCTCCATCCCATCCTGAGTGTGAACCAATATCTTTTACTTTTTTACTTTTATCCTCTTCGCCACTGATCGGCTTGAACCCTTGTGGGGCGAGCGTGCGCCAGCTCCAAGTAAGGACACTAGACTGAATAGTGCCCCTTGAGATACTTATACACCTAAATTACAGTAGGTCGCCCCTTGCCTGTCTGTAGTATAAGCTAGGCAAGTTCAGGCGCTCCAAACTCTCAGGGTAGTTGAAGTGCCGAAGTGCAGGCACCAGTCTGGTGACCCTCCTCTGAACATTTTCAACCAACTGACAGTCCATAGCATATCTCGGGGACCAGACGGAGTGACAGTGTGGGGTTTCGAGATGTTGTCTCACACTCAGGATGGGTTGGAGAAAGGAAACTCACAATGCACTCTCTGTGTATATATTGTATTGGATGTACAGTGCAGCTTGGTGCTGGGAAGTTGCAGCGTGGTTAGAAGCTGGAGTAGAGAGAGCTGGTTGGTGAGGAGCTTGCTCAGAGGAGGTGTTGTGTGCGGCGTGGCTGTAGGTAGAAGGGAGGTCACAGCGAGGTTGAGAGCTTATATAGCGGAGGTAAGCGTGGCTTGATGGCTGACCTGCGCTTTGTCAGACGTTGCTAGTAGCCGATCTTAGATCACGAGGCATTGGCTGGGGAACCCGAAAAGGGATCGGCTAGTCAGTGACAAACGGCAGTTGTAGTTGTAGGGGAAAGTTTCCCTACAACAGTACTCCAGATGGGGAAGCACTTCACTCTTGAAGATCGTTACAAGGGATGGACTGTCTAGATATCTGAACAACCTTCTTATAAGACCCAATAATTATTTACCTTCTTGCAATGGCCCGAGAACTTCAGCTCATTGTCAACATAGACACCAAGGTCCTTCTCACATTCAGTCTCAACTAGTGCAGTTTCTTCATCCTGTTGGGACATATGATACGCCTCCTTACCGTTGGTACGCCCCAGGTGCATCCTCTTACACTTCGTGACATTGAATCTCAGCAGCCATTTCTTCGACCATTCTTGGAGCCCACAGAGGTCCTTCTGCAGCTCTTCACAGTCCACTTGGTTCTTGATTTCCCAAAATAACTTGGCGTCATCGGCAAACATTTGTATGGAGGAGTGTACAACGTCAAGCATGTCATTTATGAAACAAATAAACAACAGCGGGCCCAATACAATGCCCTGTGGTACCCCACTTGTGACAGGTATGGATGATGATTTCATGCCATTAATCACTACACACTGCTTGCGGTCATGTAGAAAGTCTTCCATTCACGCTAGGACATTTCCCCGAATTCCGTACCCTTCCAGTTTGATTTTCAGCCTTTCGTGGGGTACACTGTCGAAAGCCTTGGCAAAATCTAGGTAAATATTGTCGATATTACCACCCCCAATCCAGAATATGGGTCCAGATATCCAATACCTTGAGCAATTGTGTTAAGCAGGAACGTCCCGGCATAAAACCGTGTTGGCAATCCTTTACAAGGTTGTTTCGTAGCATAAGTTCTATCAGCACTCTGGGATGCACCATGTCAGGGCCATGACTCTAATGAACCTTTAGCTTTGAGAATTTATTTCTTATAACCTCTTATCCTCAAAGGAAGGTTGCTCGCATCCTCTCTTGTGAACACCAAGGAAATGGAACTGTTCAACGTCTTGTTCTGGTCAAAATCAGCGTAACTACCATCTTCAAACCTCAGGTCCCTGTGGCCCCAGGGAAACTTCTAGAGGGTCAATATATAGTTTTCTTACTTCTTTTTTATTGTTTTATTATTTAAAAAGGTTAAAAATTATTTTTGTTAAAGTTGATTTTTCTCGATTTACCCCACGTGGGGGATACGGTCAGCAGCACCCTAGCCCGGGGCGTAGCGGTTAATGCAGCCCTCAGCAAAAAGTAGAAATAGAATTAGTATTACTGCATATTTTATAGAAATTAAATTTAAAAAAATACAAGTACTATTATGATACACTGATTCAGTGATAAGTATCGCATATATGGCGTGTCTGATGAGGCGAGTGGACGATTCTTAGGAATCTACTTTATTTTTTCACTATAACAAAATTATGATTTTGGTAATAAAAGCAGTGATTTCTAAAAGAGGTGTTTTGATTATGATTCCTTCTTTAAATTTACAATACATGGTTAATACTTAATAATCAATATTATTAAAGTGTATATTATTTACCACACTTATTCACATTAAGGTCAATGTGTGATCTTCATCACACAGTTGCCCTTCTAATGTGGCCCACTGACACACAAAAGGTTGAGCACCACTGGGTTAGACAATACAGTTGATGACTTAGTCTCTCTTCTTGGGTTATTTCATGACACTGGGTCACACAGATCTTTAAGGGTACAGTATTACCATGTGATGGAAATATTTTGTTGGAATAGTGTTGATACAAAGTACATTATTGAGGTGCATTAAAGACATAGAAAGATAGTACAGGTATTTAGTGAAGAAATTGTATCAGTACATAGTGCTTACCCTGTATGTGTGGTGTAGACATTGTGTCAGTGTACATTGTAGACAATGTATTATTAAGAAGTGTAAATATAGCATATATTAATGGGATTTAGACATAGGGCTTCCATGTGAAGAGCAAACTTGGTGTATTTGTGTTCAGACTAAACATAGTACATCATACTAATGTGTAGTACAGTTTAGACTTTATGTTAATGATTAGTGTAAATATAGTGCCAGCACACAATGTGTTAATAGCTAGTTAATACATTGTGTAGACCTAGTTCCAATATATAACGTTGTGGAAACTAATATGAGATCAAGATGTTTCCACATCAGATAACACTGCACACCCCTCATAGAAGATAGATGGAGGATAACAAGTGTTGACATGGCAGAAAACATGTTGTTTTTAATCACTATCATCATTCTACAGGCATTTTCCATGCATGCATGGGTTAGCTCCAATTACCTAATGACAGCTCTCTTATATAAGTGTAGAAAAAGGCTTTTGAGAATTGAAACGGTTTTCTTTAGTCCAGTACTTTTCAATTAAATAAACTGTTTATGAAACTAGGAGAATAATACAACTCTGAAAGGCCAGTGTTATTACTGAATTTATATTAATATATCTATACAAAATAAACATCCGCAGGAATCAGTCTCAACACAACACATTTGCTAATTCTTTTTCTGTACATAAAAATATTTTTTCTTACCCTGAACATAGTGTATCAAAATATTATCTACATTTACAAACAACATTTGAGAGCTTTGTGTAGAATCATAATAAACTTAAAATATTACAGGTCATTAAAAGAGAATTTCACTTGTGGTAGAGAAATTCTCAACACAATTACCTTCTTCTATATCACAGACAAATGTTGCCTTTGCACGTGAACACTGCACAGAGTAACAGTAAATTAAAGTCATGAGAAATGTGGCTACCACTACTCCACATCCAATGGATAAAGAGGCATATGGATTATTTATTTTAGAAAACCAGTCAATTTTTCTGTGCTTCCTTTACCATTTTAAACTCAAGTCACAACAAAATGCTTATAATTTCTGTACAAACAATATAATCATTCAAGTGTTCATAAGGCACATTGTTCAATAACAGATGAAAGGAATAACTATTTTCTATTCACATAGATATATTGGGTATACTGCACATGGTCACAGATACAAGACAGTCATCACTGTATTGTATCTGAATTCAAGTATAGATAACAATTTTAAAAGGGCCCATAAGCCATGTATGTATACACATATTGTATACAAAAAATATATACATGTGAATTCCTTCCATATACTGTACTGTACTGTATTTACATTTACTTATACTGTATAGCACAACCCAAGTTCCCCATCCTTCTTATTCCTTGTTAAGTGTATATTGCCTCTAAATCAAATTTGTTGTAAAATAATACAAGGCCATGAAAACAACTTACATAATATAATTTACATTCTTACAGGCAACCACAGTAATAATGTTCATAGTAAAAAACTAATTATACTGCACAGAAATAACCTTGCAGGGAGTCAAGATCACCTGTTGTCTGGTACTTAGTGAAAACTATTTACAAAATATCTGATATACTGATAATACAGTACTGTATATTTAATATTTCTATTCCAGAAAAACAAATTTAAGAAAAGAAGCAGAATTCCAAATTCGTTTACATTAAATGCTAAAGATCATGACATTTGCTATGCAAACTACAGTAGTACAGTAATATTTTCTATCGTACTGTAAGTCCCATTATCAAGAATCATCTAACAAACACATTTGTGTTGAATTCCAAGATGAATTTTTTGTTAAACATTTCACTGATCATCAACAAATGTCACATATACAGCTCCTCTCCGACTTACGACAGGGTTAGGGACCCAAATCCAGGTTGTAAGTCAAAATGGTCCTAAGTCAAAAATGTT